TAGCAACTTTTTTTTTTTTTTTAAATATATAAAGCCTTTTTTTTTTTTTTTGCACGAAAATATTTCCAGCGCATCTTTTTGTGTGTATGTGAGCTAAGGGGGGGGAAAAAAAAAAAAAAATTTGGTTATTATTATGCTTGTTTTCTCCCCCGCTCTCCCTCTCTCTGTCCCTCTTCTCCCCAGCCCTCTGATAATGATGGTGATGATGATTTCTTGGTGATCCAGAATTTTTAAGATCGCTGAGCAACTTTTTAGGCTTTGAAAAGAGAAGTCCTGTAGGGACTCGCTCCTTTTGAAGTTGTTGTTTCCCGCTTGTTTAAAACTGAAGCTCTCCGAGAGTAGGTGCCGGGTGCATTTGATTTTATTTTTAAACACCAGGCGTGATTTCTCTGGGTAGCTGACTCTATCCCTCCGTCAGGTTTCTGAAATAAATCTTGTTTTCTGCACCCATCAAAACGCAGGTGGGTGAGAACTCTTAACTTTCTACTTTTGTTGGTGCTGTTTCGCCTCTTTTTTATTATTTTCTTTCTCCTTTCTCTCTCGCTCTCCCTTTCTCTCGCTCTCTCTTTTTACGGAGTCTCTTTCATTCAGGTAAAACTGTAAATTTCCCAAACCTGCATTGTTTCTCTTCCTGCCGCGTGAAACTCCCGGATACTCCTCTCCCCTTTTTCTTTTTTTTTTTTGGGGGGGGGGTAAAAATTTATTTAAAATCCTCGATAGGAGCAATGTAAATTTTCTGACATTCAAACCTTTTCTAGTTCACAAATCAGTCACCCTTGTCACAGTTATTGAAATTCCTCAACTTGCCACACCAGGACGGTGGAAAAAGCAGGCGGTGTCTTTGTTGCTGACCAGGCTTTTGATCGCCAGAGAAAATTTACTTACCTTCAGATGAGTGAGCAGAAAAAGAAATAACACTCCCTTTGATTTAGTTAGAAAAATGCAGACATTTGGATTCAGTGCAAACATACAACACTTGGTTGTTTTCTAGATGCAACCCTCGATTAACCTGTCTTTCCCCAGCTCAAAGTCTATTGAAAAACTGCGGATAGTTCTTTTTTGTTCTCGCTACAAAGAGCCATTGACTATATATTAAAATGATTGTTGAAAGGTATAAGTATGGTATTTAAAAGCAGAAAACCTTTGTGGCTTAATCAATTAAGCTAAGCAACATTTGTACAATATTTTAAACGATGCTTCGGCACTAAAAAAAAAAAAAAAGATCTCGTGAAACTTTAAAACGTAGAGGTCTTTGTGTGCGTACGTATATACACGCTTACGTATGTGCCCATGTGTGTGTGTACATGTGTAAAACTGGCAAATTGTTTATTTACTCAGTCGCCTGCATATTCATTAGCTCTAATTATTTTCCAGTAACGAAAACACCAAAAGCTCGCTAAGAGTCGGACTCCTTCCATCTCGCCTTTGTTCAGCCCTTCACTCGCCTCCTTCGCAGCTCAGTCCGAGCCCCTCCAATTCCTAGTGCCAAACAAAGAAACTTTAAACTCATCCTCTCTAATTAAAGGCGCTGGTAAGCAATCCGCAGCGCAGGTACTGGGGAGTCAGACCAGCAGCGCGGACCCTTCTCGGGCGAGCACTGCCTCGTTTCGAGAGGGATAAAAATGGCCATTGCGCCTGGAAAACAAACAGGCACACAAACAAACAACAACAAATAAACTTTGATGCGCCTTGAAGGAATGTTTCGCTGCAGTTTATCTGCAGATGCAGTTTGCCTGTGCTCGGTGCATGGAGATCGCTTTCAAAGCAGACGTATTATGTAATTTCCCTTGGATCTTGGGAGGCTTTACAGGGTTTGGGTTTGGGTTTTTTTTTTTTTTCAGAATAATGCCGGGCTGTATCTACACGTTCGCATTTATTCTGCCAAATCCATTCGAAGGAATTGCAATAGCTTACAGCAACAGGTATACCCGCTCTAGGAGCGCGCCTGTGTGTGGACGCGGTCTTTAGGCGGGTGTTACATTACTTTCTGTATTTGGTGCTAAAATTAAGCAAAGGACAGAGCTGTCAGCGTTATTGTGAAGTCTTCAGGGCGACGGCGTTAGGAGATCCAGAAAGTTAGGTAGTCCAGTGCTAGCCTGCCTCCCGGCGCAGGGGGAACCCGGTGATCATTCCAGGTCGGTGCAAAATATACGAGAAGGCAGACGAGAGGGTATTTTTAGGAAGCGTATCTAAATATACAGTGTAAGAGTGAATGTAAAAAAAAAAAAAAAAAAAAAATGTTGTGGGTTGTAGAAGTTATCAAGTGGGATTTGCGGCGCGCTCTCTGCAGGAAACGAAAGCTGCTCCAGTTCAAAGCCACATGCACCAACGTGACATATAAGCCATTAAAATATCATCCTGACGGCTCATTTCTGCTTCATCATACATTCCCTAACTGCTTCCAGAAAGCAAGAAAAGAAGAAATGAAGGATGACCGCCTCGATGGAAGCGCCAAAGAGGTGGTGGGTTCGGGGGGGGAGGGGGTATTGTTTTCTTCTTTCATTCTTTCTTTCTTTTCCTTCCCCCCCCCCTTTTATTTTTGCCAGTTCAGAAATGAGGGGAAACCTTCAACAGGTCGCCGGGGTAAGTGCCTGGGAGCAGGGCGTGCCTG